TAGATAGATAGATAGATAGATAGATAGATAGATAGATAGATAGATAGATGATACATACATACATACATACATACATACATTTGCACATATAATTTAGGATTTGTGCTGTGAATTTGGGATTCTGAAATCCATTTTATGATTGTTAAAAGGGAGTAGTTGTTCTATTTCCATGTGTCCCCACCCATTCATCACCAAATGTTGGATGCATAAATCTATGCTCTGAGTTAGATAGAAATGACGAAAATTAAAAAAAAAAAAAAACCCGAGGGAAGATTCATGCCAGCATCCGTGGCCTTAAATCCATGCCTTTTCAAACTTGCTAAGACTCATCAGCAAGAGAGTTAACTTGCCTGTATAAACATCTCTTTTAAAATCAATCATAAAAATAAGAGTCAACTGATAATGACGGGTCTTTAAATTCAACAATGCCATCAGCTTCGTCAAATGAGTTAGGCGTTTAGAAGAAAACATCTTAAAGTCTGATTAATTTTCCTCAATCATAAATTTTTCTCACAATATAACAAAACAAATCCCTTTGAAGCTCTCTGTAGGGATTCCCTGCCATGTGAATCCTGTGTGGAGCTAACAATGTGCTGCACAAATAAGGATATTTTAATCTCATAGTGATGACGTCAGCCTTCTTTCAAGAACTGTTAAAAGCTGATATGATTAGGGCCACAAGGAAAAGCTTCAGTAAGTGTGGAAACACGAGAATGGTAAGATGGCATTAGATAATTATCCTTGTATTGTCCCCAAAGCATATAAACCCCCATGTAATAACTAATATCATAGCTTCTAACAGGCGTTTACTTGGCAACATTTGCCATATGTCACCTTTTATCACATCACTGGATTCAGTGAGGCATTTGGAGGAATACAGCCCTGTTCCTTTTATAGACAGAAACCTCAGCCTTGCAGGTTAGTGTCCTGTCATCCTAAGGAAAACCCTGCTGTCCATTTGGACATCATTTGCTTTCAGCTCCATGCTTTATACGTTCACAATTCACTGAGACATGCTCTGTGGGATGTGACACACCAGGCATCTCGTGTGTCCTCTGAAGCAAGCATGGCTCCCAGACGGGCAGCACCCACATCTGAGAGCTAACCACTCCAGAGCACCCAGAAACTGAAGTGAGACTCAGACAGCTGTTTTAGCAAGCTCTGCAGGTGATTACACTGCAGGTGAATGTTTGAGAACTCCTGCCATAGAGTAAAAGAATGTTATTTTGCTGTGTACAGAAATATCTGTGTTGCAGGGCTTGGGAAAGAGCCCAGAGCTGCCTGCCTGCTAGACAACAATTCTACCACTAAACTGACACTTCTGGCTCACACCCAAAGGGTAGTTATTAGAGCAGGGTAATTTTGTAGCATCCTGTGTTTTCAGGCCTAAGTTGCTGCTGTACTTAATGGAACACAATAATTCTTTTTTTTCTTTTACAATGGTACCAATCTTCAGAAAGTTTTATCAAAGGTTTACACTAAAGTATGTTTTCAATTTCTAGTAAGCCACTGATGTAAATTTAGCTGAAAGTCTGAGTTGCAAAAAATAAAATAAAAGTGATTAACTAAAACATCATAACATTACACAGGCAAAAATGGATGATGTATATGTCATAGGTTTATTAATCCCTGTAATTAAAATGACAAAATAACTAAGCTGATTACTGCATTTATCTTTAGCATTTCCTGGTCTGAAATGTGTGTCACCCGTGCAATTATATCTCTGTAGACAGAATGAGGAATGAACAGGACAGGGAGTCCTGTCTGCTATACACAGACAAACCAAGGAATGTTCCAGAAGATGAATAAAAAGGAGCTGCCAATATCTTGTGTAACAATCCTGTGTGATTAGCACTCTAAAAAGAAATAGAACCAAATAGAAAGATACTTGGTTTTTTTTATTTGCTTTCTGTTTTTTGTTTTAATATGGTATCAACCACAGGGCTTCCCACATTTAAAAAGAATGGATTTTTATTAAAAAGATACATAGTTCAATTCCTACCCACAGACATCATAGATATCAAGAGTAAAATGTTGGGGAAAAATACCATGCACACTTAGTTTCTACAAAAAAAAAAAAAATAGGAATCAGGTTTATAGTGTGATTTATATAATTTCTTTTCTTAATTTCAATAGGATCGTGAATTTGCTTTTACAGATATATATATATATATATACATATATATATGTATATATATATATGTATATATATATATCATGTAGGGTTGCAATCTACCAGTTTTCCTCAGTATTTTAGTGAAGATGTGTATGAAGTAACAAAGTATGGACAGTCCTGCGTCATAGCAGGCTTTCCCAGTGGATGCTAGATTTTGGATAATGTTTTAAGATTATAGGAAAAAACAGCATCATGAAGGGGCACAGAGCTTTCATGACCTTCATTTCACAGAGGTCATTGTCATCAGATCCTGTTATTTTTGAAGTACATAAAGCCGATGTCGGAATAGCATTTGCCAAGTATTTAAAAATAAGAAATTTAACTCTATAATGTTACAGAATATTTTGGGTAACATAAGTAAAAAAAAAAATTGCAAAACAAAAAAACCCCAAACCAAAGAATGTTAAATCAATACCACAAAGTCATATTATATATTCACAGTAGAGAAGATCTGAATGTAACTGATACCTGCGACTGGGCATTGATATTGGCTCCTTCCTTAACTAGAACTTTGACAACTTCCGCTTGTCCGGCCAATGATGCAATGTGAAGAGCAGTATTTCCCTTCTGTTAAAACAGAATAAAAGATCTTACAGGCTTCCAAACTACATAGAAATCAAAATATACAAGCACTTTCATGTTCACATTTCAAATTATTAAAATTTGCACATTGTCATGGTAAATCCATCATTTTTCCCAAGCCCATCTTGCAAAGGATTATTTTTTTAAATAAGAAGTTGGGAGTCTCTTCTAGCATCTCATTATTCTTTCTTTTGTAGTACTGGGACCGTAGGAGGACTGGATTTTAACAAAGCCACAGTTTGTAGATATGTGTGCATATGACAGTGTCCTATAGAGTTAAGGGATTTAAATAAAACAAAACACCAAACCACCTGATTGTAAGAAAATACCAATTTAAAAAATGAGACATTGAGACATTGCTTATTAACTGTGCAAAAAAAAAAGTAGGGAGACCGGAGACAGGGCTCAGTAGCTAAGAGTGAACCGACCCCATTACCTACATTAGGTGGCTTACAACCACACCAGTTCCAGGACACTGGCTGTCCTGTTCTGCCTTCCTCAGACACCTGCACACATATGCAGGTATACGCGCGCGCGCACGCACACACACACATACACACACACACAATTTATAAAACAAATCTTTTTAAAAATCCTCACACCTGGGGACTCTGAGAGGGTGGAGAAACTTTGCTTACAGTTGTTTCTACCTACAAGGACACATGGTTTTGCTCAAAATATTTTAGAAAATTCTGGACCAACCATAAAATTACTTATTATTTCTATTCCTTGCTACATCAGAATTTATGATACAAGTCAACACTGATAAAAAAATGAAAATGCAATTAAGAGAAATCATGAAAATAAAAAATTAAAACAAACGAAAACATAGACTCCAAAGCATAAAGTTTATTCTCTGTCTTTCTGCTTCCAGCTCACTGCAGAGTCACAATCCACTCAACATTTGTGGGACCCCTTCTTCTTCTTTTACAAGATTGTTTTTCTCTTGAAAGTTCTACAACTCTAATCTAGGATTCAAAGTTAATAAAAACCGAGCAGAGTGGAGAACATCTGAAATTTCTGCAGAAAGAGACACTTGGTGTCCCAGACCACCTGGGATCCACAACTGAGATCCTTATTTCAGGAAAGCAAGAGTTACAGATTGGTTATAGCACACCTTCCTGGCATGAGTAAGGCCCTGGAACTCCGTTCCCAACCAAGAGGGGGTGGGACAGGGAAAAGAAATGTACGGGAGGGGAGTTGAAAAGAGAAAAACATCAGTAGAAATTAGAAGGAAAATAAAAGCAGAAATAAACAATATGTAAGCAACCAAAACATGGTGGGCTTAAGGAACATCTATGTCAATACGCACAATTCAAGGGAAGGAAATACTGGGAGCTACATTGCAATCAATAGTTTAATAATTCTAGTAATTGAACACATGACCCGAAAGTTCTTTCCTAGTACAACACAGGGGATCTAGTATACCCATAACAAACAGAATGAATCAAAATAAAGACACATAAATTTAACCAAAGCATAAAGAAGATTGCCCGTTTCCACTGAAAAGGTGCTATTTCAGCTGAGTTGGTTTAATGCTGCTGTTTGTGTGTGTGTGTGTGTGTGTGTGTGTGTGTGTGTGTGTGTGTTCTTAAATCAATTGACTGTAAGCAAACAGGTGTAAGTGTCTGTAGAGGATCCTGTTGATCTAGGCTTTTTTGTGAACCACACAAAGAACAATAGTAGATTTGGAATGAGATCTGGGCTCCCAGACTCCTCGAGTCTCACTTCTAAGTCCTGAAATGAAGCAATCGCAATGCTTCAGAGTGTGGAAAAAGGTTTCAGCTTTACTCCTGAGTGGTCAGTGATCCCTAACAGACTTTTGAATAACTGGAAAAAAAAAGTTTTAAACCTCTTCAAAAACTAAACAAATTACAATAAATTAAAAAAATAACAAAATAGAATGAAACAAACATACAAAAACCCCTCTCCTCCTCATTGCTACGGAACATGAAGAGTACCTTGGTGGCAGAGTCCACGGAGGAGCCTCTCCCCAGCAGCTCCTGCACGAGGCCCACATGGCCTTCCTTGGCGGCCAGATGGAGGGCATTGAGTCCATTCTGAGAAAAGGAGAAGTCAGGCTTAGAGCAGAGAAATGATAGGAAGACAGGATGCTGACCACACTCAAACACAACCCACAGCAGACACACTCATGTCCTGTCTCCAGTTTTCTTTTTAAATTTTATTTATTTACTTTTTTTGTGTTCACTGGCAGCTATTTCAAAAATAGTTCTGAAAAGTGAATTTCCAGAGGCACAATGGTAATTGCGCACTAGAAACAAGGTTTGGAGAACTTCATTTTAGCAACCTTGTATTTCTTTTAATAAAGAAGTATAGAAACATGGGATTAGAAAGAGCCCTCCGTGTTTAGATCTAAGCCTCTAAGTTCGGTCCCCGGCACTTCCAGAGCCCAGATAAAAAGCTGGATGTCAGGGCTGGATATATTGTTCAGTGGTTAAGAACCCTGGCTGCTATTTCAGAGGGCCTAGGTTCAATTCCCAGCACCCACAAGGCAGCTCACTACTGTCAGTTACTACAGTTCCAGGATTTCCTGTGTCCTTTTCTGGCCTCCATGGGCACCAGTCACACATGTAGTGTGCAGATATACATACAGGCAAAACACCCATATGCCTAAAGTATTAAAATCATAATTTAAACATTATATTTAAGAAGCTAAGCATTGCTACACATCATCTGGAACTTGGTGCTCATGGGGGACAGAACAGGAGGGTGCCTGGGTTAGCTGGTGAGTAACCTAGCTCCAGTGAGAGACTGTCTTCATGGAATAAGGCAGAGAGTGGAGCAGAAAAAAATTTGAGTATACTTCTTTGGCCTCTGCATATGCACAAGCATGCCCAGGACACATTCACACACATATGTACATACGCACATATACCCAAAGTGCACACAAGTGCATACATATACACAAAGCATAGAAGTGTTTTCTAATCCGAAAATAAAAACAGTAATTCTGATTTACTGTGCTGTCTAAAGTCAAAACTCTGTCCAATATCAAATATAAAGTTTCTCAAATAAATCTTATTTTTAAATAAATGACAGAAAATCTCTTTTACAAAGTGATTAAAAGCCAAAAGACCACGTTTAAGGTTACACAACTCTGCAAGGATAGTATTATACTTCAAATGAGTTTAGATCCCAAGAGCCTTTTCTTTTTAATTGGATATTTTATTTATTTACATTTCAGATGTTATTCCCTTTCCCCATTAGCCCCCCCCCCAGAAACCCCCTATCCCATCCCCATCCTCTTGCTTCTATAAGGGTATGCCCCCCCCACTCCCACCTTCCCACCCTTGAATTCCTCCTCACTGGGGCATCTCGCCTTCACAGGACCAAGAACCTAAAAGTAAATAAATAAATTTACCATAGAATCTCTAATAATACTGTCAAATCCAGTTTCTACCTACCTAAATCCCTAAAATCTATATACCATAGCACTGAAAAAAAATGTTGTCTATATCTAAATGTGACTTATAAATTCAATGTGATATTTGTTAGAGTACTAATGACATTCTACACAGAAGTACACATTTTTACAAATCCTCTCCTAAAACTCAAGAAATCACAAAAGACCCCACATAGCCAAAACTGACCTCAACATATACAACAAAGTTGGAGCAACCCAAGCAGCAGAGCACAGACATAGAAAGACACATGGCCTTACAGGACTGAACAGAGAGCCCAGGAATGAAGCAGTGACATCAATGTACTACAGTCAACTGATTTTTGACAAGTATATTAAGAACACCCATTTGGGAAAAGATAGCCTTTTTAAGAAATGCAACAATGATCCCTTTGTTTCAATAATCTACAAAGGAGTGAAACAAGTCCCAGTACCTCACCAGGTACAAAAACAAACAAACAAACAAACAAACAAACAAACAAAAAACCCAACAACACAAAATGAATTGAAGACTTAAATATAAGACCTGAAACTATAAACCTATTAGGACATTTCCTATGTGTGGAAATGCCTCATGACATTGGACTGTACAGATGTTTTTAGGATTAATCTCAAAAGCATAAGCAATAAATTAAAAAACAGAAGAATGTGATCAGGTCACACAGGAAAGCTTCTACACAACCATCGAAGTGAAAGCAACGTAGACAATGAGAGGAAATGTTTGCGAGCCGAAATTGTCAGGGGTTATCTCCAAATGCACAAGGCATTCGAAGAACTCAATAATAAGACAAGCAAGAAGAGAGAGAGAGAGAGAGAGAGAGAGAGAGAGAGAGAGAGAGAGAGA